AGTGCACTTGACTGAGCTCGCTAAGCTGAGGGCCAGAATTCACAGCTGGGTTTGTCTACTTTAAAGCCTAAGCGCTTTTATTTATTTTTTAATATGTTTTTGTTGATTTTTTTAGAGAGAGAGGCAGAAAGAGAGAAACCTAGGTATGTGCCCTGATCAGGAATGGAACCGGCAACCTTTCGGTGCATGGGATGATGTAAAACCTAAGCTCTTTTGATAGCCAACACTTTAAAGGAAAATTGATCACAAAGAAAGTTTTTAAAAAGTTATAATTACCAAAACTTTTACCCTAGGAAAATGAAATTCCTGAGCACCACATACACTTTCCATTCTGGGTATTCACATTTAAATATCAAACGTTTCACCGCTCATAGGGCAAAGAGAGAGGAGTTTATTATACAGTTTTCCCCTCAAAGTACTGGCCACAAAGTAAGTGTACACACACAAAACAATAGGCTCCTCAAACAAATGCCAACTAATCCTTTCCACTCACGTTGAGACAGAGTCAGGGGTTGGCATGTTTTTAGTTGCTGTTTTTTACCACAAAATGTACTAACACCATAAAAATATGGTTGCTATAAACGTAGGTTAAGTTTTTCCACTAACAGCCCCAGCTGAAAGATCTGCCATTGCAATGACAGCTGTGATCACGGGACTGAAAAGGGTTTAAGTGACACCAACACAGACTGTCCTAAGCAAGACTTAGAGAAAACAGTTTCAAGTTGTGGGGTTCCTTCATTAATGGGTATAGAATTGAGGCTTTCTCATGACTTTCTTCCCAGGCCGAGGCCCTCTGCTATGCAGTGGTGTTTCCCGCAGCAGTCAGAGCACAGCATCCCACCTCTACCACCTGAAGACCACATTCTAATCAGACACACTTCACTCAGTCTCCATTTTTGAGGAGCTTATCTTAGCAAAGATAAAAGCAGATGATCTGATATCTAATCCCAATATCTAACTTAGCTGTTTCCATAGGCATTTTTAAAAGTGAATGTCAGCATTCCAAGGAGTGTCTTCTCCTGCAGGGGCACTGTCGGCAGCAGGGCCGCCTGCCAGCTCCTTACTGAAACCGCCCTGCGTCGGTCTGGAGTCTCTTCGGATAGGTCCTGGCACTTACCTTAAGCCCCTTTAAACATCTGGAAGGTTTAGGCGTTAAGATCTCTTTCTATTTACATGTCACACGTGTGCTTCATGGGTTATAGCTTAGAAAGTGTCTCAGGGAGCAGCAGAATCCCCGCTAACACTCATTTCTAACAGCACTTCTCAAACGAACGTGAAATTCTTGAGCCCTGCTGTCAAGGACCAGCCGTAGACCTCGCAGGGAAATCAGGCATCCCGTGCTTGCACACACCCAGAGGACTGTGATGATGGTCCACAGTGCCTCCTTCCCAGACTGCACAGCCCCCCCCCCACCCCTCTTCTGCCACGTGGGGTTTCTTTCTCAGATTCACTTCAGCAACTTCCTTCTTAGGAGGCGAGATTTAATATGCAGCACTGCTCATGCCAAAACAACGGCAGGAGAGACGAGTGAATCCCAGAAAAGTGGACTTATTTTAATTTCACCTTATCCTATCTAATAATAGACAAACATGGTAATTGACCATAATTTTGCTACACCTCCCATAGGCTAATCAGTGAGATATGCAAATTAACCACCAACAAAGATGGCGGTTAATTTGCATACGTAGGCACAAAGCGGCAAAGCGAAGACTAAAGGCAGCTCCAGCCAGGGCGAAGGCCTGGGTCCCGGGTGCCAGAGGAAAACCGGTGCCGGCAGCCAGGGGAAGGGAAGGCCTATTGCACAAATCTTTTCATGCAACAGGCCTCTAGTTTATAATAAGGAGTTATAAGTAACAGAAATGGTCTATGGGCTGCTTATGTCCCAGGGACCATACTTGCTGCTTTCCAACTTTATTTCAATTAACCCTTAGAAAGACCCAGCAGGAAAGATGTTCTTGACATTTTCCAGAAGATGAAAGTGCGGCCACCGGACAGGAGGCAGCGCTGAGGGCTCAGCACCACCTTACAATCAAGCCACTACTCTTACCCCACAGGACAGCCGGCTCTCATTCTTCAACTGTAAGAGTAGGGTCAATTAGTTTATCTACTTTTAGGGAAAGTATGTTCTAATGTATAAAGTAAGTTCACTGAACTACCCCTTCCTCCCCACCCTAACCAAATGCAGGGAGAGAGAGAGAGAGCAGGGCTTGCTGGCACGTGGGGCTGCTACACAGCCAGCACATGTCTTCAGCCAGGACTCACCAGTGTGCTCCCGCCAGCCTCTTTACTCATGACCATGGGAGACCAAACAGCTCTCAGAAGACTTGTATTCCTTAGAGAAGTAAAAGCTTCATGCCCGGGACTGTCAGTGCAAGGACGTTTTTAAACTGCGGAGTAACTTAAAGCAGAGGAGAGCCCTCCAGAACTGCGTCTGGTAACTCTATCTGCCCCTCCTCTGCACCCAGCCCTTCCTATTTACAAGGTCATGTTTCTCAGTCCTTCAGGCAGCAGACTCCTCCCACAGCAGCCCGTGTGCTCGTTTCAGAATGTGCAGACCTGCAGAGTGGGCATGACGCGCTTCCAAAGGGCCCTGAAGCTGCACCTGTGTTCTGTACATGAGGCATGTAGCTTCATTACTGCACTCAGGAGTGATGATGTGACAACAACAAAACACTCATTCCCTTCATGCCAGTTAGCCCTAACATTACTTAGAAAACCTGAACTTAAAAAAAGCTGCTGAGACTAAAATAAAGGGATAGTCACATAAAGACAAGTGATGGAGATGAGGGAGAAAACCCAGCAGGCAGAACGGGACGGGCATCACCTATTCCTTGGGTTCCCTAAGGAGGGCCAGGTGCAAAGCACTAGAAGTACCAGGTAACTCAGGTCTTGCTCCCCGGAGTTTCCCAGCAGCCCCATTATGTAATACAGAATACAGCTGTCTGGTGCAATGTTGGATGCACACTCTTATCTGGTCCTGTCCCCTGGACCTGGGCTGACCTGTGACTTGCTGTAGCCAACAGAATGTGGCAGAAATAATGCTGTGCTGGTCCCAGCCTATGGCGTAAGGAGTTCTGGTTACTTTTGCTTCTGCACTCTTGTGAGCCCTAAGCAACCAAGTAAGGCCAGCAATCCTTCTGCAAAGGCCCCCTGCCCCTGAGACAACAAGACCATATGGGACAAGCCTCGTCCCGTGCACTGAAAGGTCACTGTTTATGTGCAGGTCAGGGCACATGCCCGGGCTGCAGGCTCAATCCCTCGTAGGGACGTGCAGGAGGTAGCTGATGGATGTTCCACTCTCACATCCATATAGAGAGTGTCTCTCTCTCTCTCCCCCTTCCAATGTCTAAAAATCAATAAAAAATCTTTTTTAAAAAGACTATATGGTACAAAAGGAAGAGAAACAGACAGACAGAGAGACTGGCACCCGGCTGAGCTGCCAGCTGAATGTGTCCATCAGAGTGACCACAGCAGAACTGTTTAAATGAGCCCAGCCTGGCAGCCCAGATAGCAGAGCTGTGAGCAAAATGCAAAACAAACAAAACAAACAAACGCTGTCTAAAGTCATTGAGTTTTTGCTAGACAGCAATAAAGAGCCAAAACAGTGCTCGCTGGGTTCCCTGTGTTTTTGCATAATTTTCTCAAAACCCAGAGAAAAGGAGTGTAGTTACAGACACACTTCGCTTCATTGTGCTTCACAGGTGTTGTTTCTGCTGAAAACAAGACCCTCGACCAGCAAAAAGATTATAGCTCACTTTACTGTGGTGTCTGGGACCAAACCCACAGCATCTCCGAGCTGTACTGTCTCAGTAATTCCAAACAGTCACACAATCCCAGAAGATCAAGTCTGTCCCTCTGTCCTTCCTGACAGTGGCTCCACTAGCCCGAGCCCCAGGACAGGCCTTGCGTGCCTTTCGCTGGGCCCGCACCGGGCAGTGCTGGGAACTAATAGGTCTTAGGAGTGTTGAGACAAAGGCTAGTCTTCCTTACACTTGAGGAACTATTTAACATATGGTTTTACATAATTTATTCCCCCAAAAGTTGTTTAAACACGAATTTGGAGTGTATACTAACAGGTTTTTTTTTTAATTTTATTTTTAATATTTTTTTTATTGTTGATAATATTATAGATGTATCCCATCTCCCTCCCCTTTAACCCCTGCTAACAGTGTTTTAATGGTAAATCATTTTTTTTAATGATTAAGCTGTTTATGTAATGGTAAAAATCATGAAATACCATGATATAGACTTCTGGAAATCAGATCCTGATTTATTTGCTCCAAAACTACAAATTTTCAGGCCTTTATAGAAGAACAAACTTCACCTGTAGCAACTGCATTAAAATCCATAAGTTTTCAAAAGGAAACTAAAACCTACTTTTCACCAGTATATATTTTCAGATGAGAGGTCAACTTTTGCTTTTTCCTTGACAGGATGATAACTATTTTGTGATAAATTTTTACAAATTTCAAAATTAACTACCAAAAGCCATTGCAATGAGATTACCATTTTAACACGAAGGAGGAAACAGACAAGTTCAGATCTACACAGTACAAAAGTGTAACAGATTCCAAACAGGTAACTTTACACTCCTGGCTCACAGCCTTCAGTTACCGCTGCACTGAGTCAGTGGGAAAAGAATACTGACCTGGGAACAAAAGCATAGGTTATAATGCCAGTTCTAGTTTAGCACTGACTAGCCAATACCCTGGAATTTAACCTTTTTAACTTATTTGAGCCTCAGTGTCTTCTAAAAAGCAATGACTACCTCCTGCCACACCTACTGCTCCGTGGTCATGAGAACCAAACAATAGTGTGTGTATGGTTCTGATGCCAGCAGAACAGAGAATCATGTAGGTAGTGCTTTCTCAGATACTCTTCCTCCTTTAAGTTTTATACCAGTTACTTAAGAATACATACCACTATCAACACCAATTTATTGCTTTTTCTAATGCTTGTTATAATTGCATATTTTTATAGAAAGAGTAAAAAGACCCCTGTCTTTCTAATAATTACGGAATCAAAATTTCTAAAGCTAAAAAAAATACTAATAACTTTTTCTGATTCTACCAAGAAGACATTCCTATAGATGCAGAAAAGTCAACTGTTTACTAATCAAATTATGCTGTAACCATACTGGGGAGAGTTGACGACATAATCCAGTGAGAAAACGCACTATGTCCCAGCCCTCCGTTTATTTTGTCAAGTTTACATTTTTAGTTGGTAAAGGCTTTCTCCTGAATGGAGGAAGGAGTGATGTAGGGCATACCTGAACAGAGAAAATAAAGGCTCTAAAAGTTTCTAATTTCACTTATGTCCCTCCCCACCCCCACCCCGAGTCCAGACAAAGGAAATAAGGAAATAACTGGTCTGATACCTGCTCTCCAGGCGCCCAATTCATCCCTCAGCCTCACCAGCGCTGCGGCACCTGGAACCGAGAGGGGTCCGCAGACAGTCCCAGGAAAACCTAAGAGCCAAGAGTCACAAACTGTTAGCAACCGGAAGGAACTCCCAGGACTGTCTAGTTCTCACTGAGGAGGTCACTTAAAGGCAATAACTACACCCAGTGATGGTGAATCAGTTGCAAACATCTTTATACGAGAAGGAAATCAACCCCTCATTCCATTTTACCCACTTGCTAATTGAAATACTTAGGACAAATCATTTAACCTCTTGGGCTGGTTTGTTCTATAAAATAGTAGCAACTAACATAAGTTAGTCAAAATTCACTGTAAACCACAACAGACGTGTCCCTGAGTGGATACAGAGCATGTGTCGACAGCGGGGCTTCCTAGCAGTGAATGGAAGAATCTGAAGGTTCTATTGTAAAGCCCCCAGTGATTCTGAGAGCTGCTTCCAGGCCAACCCCCTAGCCCATGGGTTCCATGGATAAGCTTCAGGTAGCCCACAGATTCTCCAAAATTACAACCAGAAAACACAGGTGCATATGGAAATTTTCCAGGCAGCCTTCTTTAAATTCACCAAGGTTTACTCAGCTCTAAAAGACTGAGAACTTCGCTGCAAAGTAACATGCATGCCGAAGATAAAGCTTCTATGGATGTGCTCCAACCGGTACCACTAGTCTCCCAAACAGCCTGGATCGGAACCTCGGTTATTTTTACTCTCTTCATTTTCTCTCATCATCAATTCTGTCTAATCCACTTCCTTCCTCCTTTCCTTTCCTATAATTATGGCCACAGCTCAGCCTCTCACTACCTATTACCACAGCAACCAGAAGGTCTTTCTGCCTCCAAGTTCTCTCTACTTCAATCCACACTGCACAGCTGCCAGATTAACCCCTGAAAACAGCTTTAATCATTACATTCCCAACTCAAAGTCACCATCTACCGAAGCCAAAGGCACTGGCCTGCATTCAAAACAATCACAAACTGGTCCATTTTTCCTTAGAGCTTTATCATCCTCGCTACGGGTACAAGTACTTGATGTTCCATCCAATTACTTGTGTCTCCCCCAATGTATGAACTCTGAGCTCCTCGTCCCCTTTCTCTGCTTGGATGACCTTTCCCAGCCTGTCAAGATTCTTAGTCATCCTCAAAACAAAGATTCCAGAAGCCAGGAAACCCACCTCCCAAGTGAGATGTGAGCTCTGCCGCCTGTGAATTCGAATTCTGCAGTCCCGTAACTGTCCAACGAGGCATGGGTGTACAGTCTTACCCACCCACCTAATCCATGAAGGCCGTGCCCACCCTCATCCTTATCTTTACCAAACACCCCACACAGTCATGCAGTAGGTGCTCAATAACTGCACAGCAGTAAAAGAAATGTCAGACTTCCGGGAGCGAACAACAGAGAATGCGCCTGGGACTTGATCCTCCATCGCGCCAGGCTTATGACACAGAGCCCTTACTCTCCGCTAAACCCGGGAAGAACTCCGTGAAAATGTCAGTGAGCTCCACCTGAAAGAACGGCCGCACTCCACTCTGTGCAGCTCCAACACTCAGGCACTGCGGTATCAATTGGAAGAAACAATACCTACTTATGAAAAGTGGCCATTTCCAGTGACAGCTAATTTACTGCTCAATGGCTAAAAACAAGTCACACACATAACAGAATGCCTTTTTTTTTTTTAAAGTGCCTTTTGCTTGTGTAACACACACAGAGACTCAGTGCCACAGACAAGGTGGATTTACACAGGAGTGTGAACTCTTGCGAAAACCTGCATGCAAACTGCTCCCTGGGTGTTTCAGGCAAAGACACCAAGGGGGAGAGACAACTTTAGACCTCTCTCCCCCACCACTCTCACCAAGAGCAGGTTACAGCACACACTCAAGTCCTCTGCACATGAGGCTGCACGAGGACACAGCACTCACTCAACAGAGCAAGCCAGTCCGTCAAGCCCCGAAGAGTAAAATGTCCACAGGACAGACCGCGGGCTCGTCTGGTCACCACGGGACGAAGGCAGGTCCACTCCCGGCCCACGGGGTAAAGACTGGACCGAACGGACTGGCACACGCGGATCCCTCCACCGTGGCAAAACGATGGGCCAACCACGAAATTAACGTCTAGGAAAGGGCGGCAGACGGTCCGGGCGGGGATGAGGATCAGCGAAAACTGCAAGGTCACTGGGACCTGGCGGGTCACGGGTGGAGTGGGGTGCGCGGGGGCTGCAGAGCCAGTGGGACGGGTG